ATGACTTGACCTGAAAGTCCACTCGGACCGCCTGTTAGGAATAATCCCAACAATTACTATTGATTGATTGTTTAAACTTTCGTTAACTCTACCCTCCCTTATATTATTGTATTGTCTGATGATGAATTCATCGAAAGCGTTCGTTCGCCTAACTTGACTTCCTGATCATTCAAATTTGATGAGACTGACATTCTCACGAGAGGTGACAATCCTGTCAGTCGCATGTGCTTTGAGTCCAGGTTCACGGGCCCACAGTCTATAAACAAGTGCAACGACCTACGACGTCTAAATTCGCTGCGGAGGCTCAATTTGGCCAAAGCAAGTCGCAACTTGGGGCACGCACAGGTCAATGCGTCGTCCAATGCCGGCGTCAGGGAGCCAGATGGCCGAGCAATCATCACGTCCCATTCCACTACGCGTGAGGAGAGTTCAGCAGGTCACGGCCCGCACGCCGGCCATCAAGCAAAATTAGCGCACAAGCAGGCAACTGTCCTTGATAGGGGAGTAATTAATTGTCATAAGTGTGCAGTAGCAAAGTCGCTGTATCCGATAAATACTGCAACCCCCTGTGCATGAATGACGCATTGTTGCGATGTCTCTGAGGAAGGATCCGCGACGGATTTCGAAACGACAGGCAAATAAAAAGTAGTTTCCCAACGATTATCTCTTCCTCTTTTCGACTTTTCTACGCTTGTCATGTACGATTTGCTCCACAGACTGATCTTTTTCTCGCATAGCCCGAACAAAGCAAATGTGTTAAATAGGCCTCTGGATTACGAGTCGTCTGACAGAGATTAGATCAATACTGATGACGAAGTCAGGATAAAATTACCTCAGCTCACGTCAGGTTTACCAATAGACGAATGAATAGGAGAAATGAGACACACATGAACAGTACAAGCTATGAAATCAGAAGCACGAAGGCCGACTGCAATATTAACTTTGTACACCTACAAACAGAAAGTGGAATTAATGAAAGTTAAGGGAAGGTGTGAAGAGGAGGAAGAGTGAATAAGACGAGGGGCCGAAAAGGGGAGACTTGCCCGAACAGATGAGAATTGCCACTGGAGGGCTCTGAACTTGCAGAGCGGTAGGCCAGCTGGCTGACAGCGACAAGGAGGAGACTCGCGACGGAACGCGCGTGATACCACCGAAAGAGAAGGGCTGGATTGCAAAGAACCAGACGCAGGAAGAAGACCAGCAACAGCCCAACAACGACATCTCCGTGCTCATTCCTAAAG